TGGCAAATCCAGAGTGGTCATCAATCTCACGGATCGAGTCCTTACCGAAGAGGAAACAGCCCTCTTAGCAAAAGGCGGTAATTTCGCAATCACTCCACAACACCTGCTAACGGAGGAGATTATAGCCAGCACTGAAACAGCCATCAGAGCACAACCCGATGTAGAAGCAGAAGAAATCGGTATTGAGACGGCCAACATTCTACGAAAGGATTACACAGTGTGGTTTTCGTCCAGGAATATGTTAATGAAAAGTCGGTTTTCGGCTTATTTGGACTTTATTTAATGAAATGTCTAAATCAACAGCCAACGTTTCGACGCATTCCGCATCATTCTCAAGGCTAAAAGAAAACATGCAAAGAACGTTACAAGCATTTCACAACGATTAACATTTTAAAATGACTGACAAAATAAATTAACATTTAAAAAAAAAAAAAAAAAAAAGAAGCATTTACAAAGGTTTAAAAAATAAATAAATTATAAAATGACGTATAAAAAATAAATTAACATTTAAAAAGTTTCAACAATGACTATTACATAACAAGAGATAAGTAAAATGAGTTTCACAAATTATATTTTTGAAAAACTATCAATCCAGACAACATAGAACCAATTACCCAATTTGACTAATAAAAACGTCGTATTGTTATCTACAAAATACCTTACCAAAGTTTACCTTACCTAGATTATTAAAGCTATGAATCGCATCATTCGGACCGATTCATCAATAACAACAAACAAAAAAGTTCACACACCAAAGAGCGGTACTATTGCTTGCCGTGATGTTTCGGTACTACTTTTTCATATCGATCTGCATTGGTACGTAAAACTAAATTATTGATAATGTTGATTCCCACCCCACTAAAGGTGAAATTTGGTGGGGTGGGAATCAACATTATCAATAATTTAGTTTTACGTACCAATGCAGATCGATATGAAAAAGTAGTACCGAAACATCACGGCAAGCAATAGTACCGCTCTTTGGTGTGTGAACTTTTTTGTTTGTTGTTATTGATGAATCGGTCCGAATGATGCGATTCATAGCTTTAATAATCTAGGTAAGGTAAACTTTGGTAAGGTATTTTGTAGATAACAATACGACGTTTTTATTAGTCAAATTGGGTAATTGGTTCTATGTTGTCTGGATTGATAGTTTTTCAAAAATATAATTTGTGAAACTCATTTTACTTATCTCTTGTTATGTAATAGTCATTGTTGAAACTTTTTAAATGTTAATTTATTTTTTATACGTCATTTTTTAATTTATTTATTTTTTAAACCTTTGTAAATGCTTCTTTTTTTTTTTTTTTTTTTTTTTTAAATGTTAATTTATTTTGTCAGTCATTTTTAAAATGTTAATCGTTGTGAAATGCTTGTAACGTTCTTTGCATGTTTTCTTTTAGCCTTGAGAATGATGCGGAATGCGTCGAAACGTTGGCTGTTGATTTAGATATTTCATTAAATAAAGTCCAAATAAGCCGAAAACCGACTTTTCATTCTACGAAAGGCTCGACCACCAACCAATAACCTCTCTAAGAAGGAACTAATGGCAATTCAGAACCTGAATTCACCGGAAGATATGATCATCCTACCTGCGGATAAGAGCAACGCAACTGTCCTGTTAAGAACTGAAGACTACAACCGGAAAATCCAGGAACTCCTTGATCCATCTACCTACCGAAAGCTGAAGATGGATCCTACCCAAACCATACTCCGGAACATCAACAAATTGATTAGATCATCTACTCTAACAGATACAGTTAAGAAAGGCATTATAAAAACAGGAGCGATTCCACCACGACTCTACGGCCTACCCAAAACTCACAAACCTGAAGTCCCGCTAAGACCTATGGTGAGTGCACCTGGAGCACCAACGTGCAACCTAGCGAAAAATCTTGCATCGCTTCTTCAACCGCATGTAGGAAAAACTAGCTCTTACGTCAAGGACTCCACTCACTTTGTCCGGAAAATTGGGAATATTATACTCCAACCTAAGGATATCCGGGTCAGCTTTGATGTCGTATCTCTACTCACAAAAGTGCCATTGACCTCAAGTCGGCCTTTTTATCAAATGGTTACAATGCATCTGAAATCGACAAAGCCATGCGGCCCAAAACTGCCACACGACAAAACATGGATAAACAACCAGTGGTGGCTAATGCATATCTGCCTTTCATTTCTCGTGTGACAGACAGGAGAGAGAAATTCTTGAAGAAACACAACATAAAAACAATCTTCAAGCCAACAAGAAAAAAACAGCAATCAATCAGATCAGCCAAGGATAAGAGTAACCCACTGTCAAGCGCTGGAGTCTATCGTATACCATGCACATGTGGTAAGGTATACATAGGAACGAGAAAAAGATCCATGGGAACCAGGATGAACGAGCACAAAAGGAACTGAAGACTAGAACAATCGGAAAAATCGGCAGTTGCGGAACATGCACTTAGTGAAGGGAATCACGAAATACTCTTTGGTGAGGTTAAGGTTTCTGCACCGACTTCCGGATACCACAATAGTCTTGTACGTGAAGCTATAGAAATTCACAAACCAAACTTCAACAGGAATTCTATTTAAACTTAACCAAGTCTGGAACCCGCTCCTCAAGAACGCAAGAAAGATCCCATTGAGTACAGAGAAAGTTCAGTCTAGCCACGTGCTGTGAAACCCCACCCCTCTCCCACCACAGCCACTCACACATAAATACAACTTACGGTCGGGAACCCGTCAGTCTGCTACCAGAATCGGACATGGAACCATCTCTGAAGTTGCTAGCCACGCGTCAGGAAGATTTTTTTTTAAATCTGTTAGAAAGCCGAATCCCTCCATTAGTTTCGAACCCATTGTGACGTGTTGTCTGCTGGCAGTAGTTTCAGCAGTCATTTACTATCGCTTCAAATAAAATTTCTCCAGTCTAGTGAGTACCTAATTTTAGAATGACTGCAAAACTCATTCCACTGGGATCAATGGCTTGCTTTTGCAAGGATTATAAAGGTATTCAGGACTCGTCTAACCCAACATAAAAAGATCAAAATCTTCAAAGCCGATAAATCTAAGTCACGTACCGTTCAAGCCCACCAGACTACACTTCCCGTGTCGGGCTGCTAGTCCCCCATCGGGCGCCTACCCAGGTGGCGGATAGTGAAATGCTTTTCCGATATGGGTGCATAGCAATGTCTGATCCAGAATGGGCAGTTGCAAGCAGCGTCTAACCCAAATTGGGCGGCTGAAATACACAACTCATCATCCCAGCATGATGTTTGAGGGCCAAAAACCCCCTCATGGAAATGTCAGTAGATGTCAGAAAGCTGAGGTCATTTTAATCTATAAGAAAAAAGACCCTCACGAACTTGAAAATTATAGACCAATAAGCCTTCTTAGACACCTATATAAACTCCTTACAAGAATACTATAGGCTGAGCTCGGTACAAGGAAATTCCCAACTCAAACCCACCAAACTACACTTTCCGTGTCGGGTTGCTAGTCCCCCATCGGGCGCCAACCCAGGTGGCGGATAGTGAAATGTTTTCCTGATATGGGTGGTACCGGGGCGGACCAAAACTAGTATAGCGACGTCTGATCCAGAATGGACAGTTGCAAACAGCGTCGAACCAGGATTGGGCGGCTGAAATACACAACTCATCATCCCAGCGTGGTGTTTGAAGGCCAAAAACCGCCTCATGGAAATGTCAGTAGATGGTAGAAAGCTAAGGTAAATTTAATCTATAGGAAAAGAGATTCTCACGAACTTGCAAATTATAAACCAATAAACCTTCTTAGTCACCTATATAAACTCCTTACAATAATACTAACGACTAGACTGGAGAACAAACTCGATTTTTACCAAGCAGTAGAGCAGGCAGGATTTCGTGCAGGATTTGGAACCAACTATCACTTACAGAGCATCAAAAAGTTATTTGGAGAAACTGTCGAATACAATAGTCCATTCGCTCTAGCTTTTATGGAATTTGATAAATCTTCCGACACAGAAGAGTTTGATGCAATCATGGGAGCACTACAAGCATGCCGCATTGATTATCGGTATACAAAGTTGATATACAATATATACAAGAATGCTACCCTGAGAGTGAAACTGCATGAAGACACTGATCCCATCCCAATTAGCAGAGTAGTACGATATGGCGATACGCTGTTTGCACTTAAACTGTACTGGTACCACAGTACTACAATATGCATGTAGGAAACTGAATTGGGAAGAGAAAGGCCTAAATATAGAAGGGAAGTTTGCAGACGATATAGTTTTCTTCTCCGACAATCTCGGGGTAATGGATATCATCTGTACGACCTTCACCAAGTGTGTGCCAGCGTGTGGCTAAACATCAACATAACAAAAACAAAATACATGACGAACCAGGTCCCTAGTAGGAACATTTATATTGCGGATAATGAAGTAGATCTTGAGGAAAAGTACACATAACTTGGTCACGAAATAAAGATCTCAAGAGACAATCAATCATGCGAGCTGAAGAGAAGAATGAATCTCGCGCGGGCCGCATATGGCAAACTCGAAGATATCTTTAAAAGTAACCTGCCAATCTGTTTAAAACGCAAAACATTCGACCAATGCATATTACCAGTCATGACGTATGATGCCGGAACGTTGACGTTGATAGCTACAATTTCTAAAAAGCTAGAAATAGCACAGAAAATAATGGAGAGGTCAATATTCTTGGTGCTTGGTTGCGTCGAGTTAAAAATGAGGAACTGAGACAAAGAACAAGAGCTTTCGATGTGATTTCCGGAATTACCAGACTCAAATGAAACTGGGCACGTAGCCCGTACCCTGAGCCAGGAATGATAGATGGACGAACAGGTTGCTCGAATGGAGCGGACAAAAAAAGTAGAGAAAGACTGACGATATAAGACTTACAAATAACTGGATGCAGAGCGCTCAAGAGAGAGCATAATGGACCAAAATGAGGAAGGCCTATGTCCAGCAGTGGATGCAAAGGGCTGGATGACGACAAAACTCCCAGAATTTAGGCCGTCTAGGAAATTGCTCCAAACTCCCGAGACAATCATCGCAAAATCCTCAAAAACCTCAAAGAATAGAAGTTTGAATTCCACATTTTCTTCCTTGCTGAAGAACGGCTTTACAACATAATCATAAAAGGGAAAAACTCAGGACCTGTCAGAGATTGAAGCAGACCTAAAAAATCTGATTTTTTTTCCCAAGAGACATCCAGAGATTTGAGCCCTCTGAAAAAAAACGGCTACAAGGCCACATCGCTGGTGAAACTTCTTATCTCCTCTAAAGAGGTAGTTGACCATTTCGAAGAATTTCACCTCTTTTTTGTGCAAAATAGGTATATTTCTCTTAATGCCCGTCGCAAATTGTCACGTCAACACAAAATGCTATAAGTACGCGGGCGACAACTTACTGAATCCCGCAAATGCATCAATTGCGATGGACCACGCCCAACCAACTATCAAACTGTCTCAAAGGCCCCTATAGCGACCAAGCCAGAGCAAACCAAAAACCAGCCCAATCGCAAAATCTCACGGCCTCAAAAAGGCCCCCTATCCAGCTCGTCAACCCATAGGTGCATCCTCAGTCTACTGAGATAAACACAGAAGGTAAAGTATATACGAAGTCAACCATGCTATTTGGATTAACTGTATAGGTGACATATTATTTATGAAAATAAGCATAGGCGTGCAACACGCTAGAAATAGGAAAATATTTTTCCGAAAATCGGTCAAATAACAACTGTAATGAGAAGACAATTCAAAAAATACGACACTCGGTCACAACCTTAAGATACTCGCTAAAATTCCGAAGAAAGAGGAATAAACTAATTCTAAATCCTTCTATTTCAATAAACAAGCCATCGTACTGTTAATTTATTAGCCAATGTGTCATGTTTAGACATTGTTCCATTTTTGTGTGCGCCAAATATCATTTGAACGACTGGAAGCGGTCTACATAGTCTAGTCATCATTATTAGGATATATTGATGAATTTTAGCAGACCATGTACGTGACTCTTTTATTTAGCTGTTCGGATTCACTTAGTATTTACTATAAAGCCGAGATCACTGAAGTGTTATCCAAGCAGACCTCGACGCAGGACGATTTACGCAATCGACAAAAGAGGCGTTGGAATCGGAATAAATATACGCTGAAATTTATGATGATGAGTAGAGTACCTGAGAAAATTTTGGCATGCATATGAGGGAATGTCACAATTTGCATAGCGGAAATACTGGGAGTATTCAGACTTTGATGTTCCATGAATTGGGGAGACAAAGAGATGTACTCGGAAATTTATTTCCAAAGGAGATTTTGGGCAATATATTTCCAACAAGATGGTACAGCTCCTCATTATGTTCTATTGCAATGTTTGGGTTACCAATAAACAAATCAGTGAATTGAAAAGTGAATCATGAAATTGCCACCTAGACTAATTATTATGACATAAGAGTAGTTCTTCCTTGATATTCCTGGAACAATTTAAATCGTTTCTAAAATTAATTTTTTATTCTACTTACGTTTTCCAAAATATCACCCTGTATATTCAGTGATGTCTCAAATATAATAATAATACTTATGCTTATTTATACTATATGTGATTAAAGACATACTTTTTTCCTCATTGAAATGAAATGTTGCGTGGATAATAGGTCTTTAATTACTACTATTTTACAATACTTTTTTCCACACCTACAAATCGTTTTTCAAAAAGTTCTAATTCAATCGTTGACCATACACCGTTTATAATACCTGTGATATTAAAATGTGGCACGTCAGTTGACTGTCATTGCGGACATTAAATGTTTTAGAAAATATTATTTTATCAACAGAATACATAGGTACATGTCATTGTAATCTAAAGTAGAAGTTTAAATTTCATTTTCCGTTCGAAACACCTTATTGTTCAAAGAGCACCTAAGCACAAAAATGTTTAAAAATCCAGCAATATACTCGTTTCAGCCTTCAAATCGATAATATTCCTCCTCGATGTGTGGTTGTCTACCTAATACAATTTACTTTTATTAATAATTCAATAAGCTTCTCTATATCAATCACTGTTTACAGCGCAGTATTTGCAACATTATTTCTCCAATTATTCACAGCGTTAGCTTGATTTTTCGCTGCGATATTCTTTAAACGCTAACATTTCGTTAGAACCGTCAAGTCAGAGCTGACTGTGTTGCATTGCTGGTAATTGGTCGCATCGGTTACCATGTCTGGTTTTAAGAGGCTTTTTTGGCACTTTTTTCTTATGGATGTTTTTTGAGAAGTACCGCCAACCTCGTCGGTACCTTTTTCGATGCAGAGGATGTCTTTAAATTCTTTCCAGAAGTTTTCGTTGAGGCAACCGTAAAGAATTGGGTTGGAACAAGCTGAAGACATACCCATCATATGACAGATGGCATAGCAGACCTGAAACAAACGAGAAATTTGTTAAAAAAATTTAAAAAAATAGTTGGAAAAATTTCAGGAAATAGAAGGTTCAGATTGTATCACGCATTTCGGTTATTTATTGGGTAATCTTTTTTTGTTTAGAGCGTGGCATGCAAAATCACGGAAATAATTTCATGATACTTCCGGTTTCTGGTAGTGGAAATTCGCATATAGACAATAAATTATTCATACCGAGAATTCGAGTCTATACTGTTGAACGCCACTTTTTTAATTTGAAAAAAATTATTATTACCAGTCATTTCGATATTATGCTCTTTACGCATTTAAAACCATTGCCGTTCTCCAGATAAAATGAGTTTGTTTATTAGGTAACATCAATCAATCAATCAATCAATCAATCAATCAATTCTTTATTGTTTAAAAAGAATATACATTCTTATAACAGTAGGTTCTGCACAATAATAAACTTAATCTAAGTAATGCTACATTTCTCATACTTATAAGCTACACGTTTAAATATGTAAACCCAAATTTGAAATTGAAAAAGAACAAAAAATAATACTCTATATTAATTCAGGTACGAGGAGAATAGGAAGATAAAATTAAAATCTAAAGAATAGGTCTATTCATTTCTTAAGAACGATCTAAGTTTAAGAATACTAGTAACGGTTTGGAAAATAACCCTCACCAGTTGAGGGTTTAGATTGTCCAAATTATGAGCAAAATTCGGTATATCACCCCAATCTGCCGGCCTAACACTACGATATAAAGGACATTCAAAGAGAACGTGAAGAAATGTTTCAGGCACTCTTAGGTTACAAACCGAACAGAGTTCTTCTTGATTAATTCTATAAGCTATGCCATTCCAGAATATATTGCAGTTATAACTCGAACAAAGTCGTATTTGTGTAATAACTCTGATCATGTAAAAAGCACAGTCAGAATAAAGGTACTTCAACGAATGCTTATTTAAATCAAATTGACTATAAAACAAAGTATACGTAGAATTTCGTGCCACTCGATAGTCGGTCTGCAAACATCTTTCACGAAAATGTTTTAATATCTCTGGTTTACTACGTTTTAAAGAAATGTTATTTAAAGACCACAAGTGGGTTATTCCGATTTCTTGAAACCATCTGTAAAAGTTGTAAGCCCAATTAAACTTAGGGGAGGCATTACCACCAAATAAATTGAGCTGGCGATTTAGACAAATTTTGGGCAACCTGTGATTCTCCATGCCTAATAGTTTAATAAAATAGTTTAGCGTTGACTTGAACACGAAGTACGACAGAGGCAGACTGTCTGTTTCAACTCTAATTATGGCATGGGAGGTATTCTTTGGGAGCCTTAAAAGGGACTTAAAGAACGAGGACTGAACCTTCTCCAGGACATCAGCATATCGAGGCCCCCAGACTGGTAAACAATTACTAAACGAGTTCATAACGGAACCAGAAAACAGCCTCGACCTACCGCTTGACATGCACGTAAAATTTTATTGTACGTCATTATCCGAAAGCAGTTCGATGGGGTGAACACGACTCCCAAATAGACAAATTTGTTTACCACTTCTAGAGGATCCCCATTAAATAAGAATTTGAACCCACCTGTATAGGGCAGTCCTGGTCTGTTGAAACACATTATTTTTGATTTGTTTGAATTTATGATAAGATTGTTTTCACTGGCGTATTGCTGAAGTATATTTAGTTTTTTTCTGTAAATCAATTTCCGAGTCGCTGAGTAGTATAAGGTCGTCACAATACAGTAGAAGAGTTATATCGTTAGTAGCGTCCATGCTCAACCCCCCCACCCCGCGATCCAGAAAAAACTGGACAATATCGTACAGAAAAATATTAAACAGGGTAGGACTAAGAGTTTCACCCTGCAAGACCCCAGAAGAAATGGGAAAGGGCCTTGTTAATCCCTCGGTTGCTCTTATCTGAACCGTGGCTTTATCGTAAAGGTCTTTTATGGTCATTATGAGATTTGAACTGATTCCTACTTGGTACATTTTGTGCCACAGTAGGTTATGTGAAATCGAGTCAAAAGCTCTGCGGAAATCAATAAAGGCAGCAAACACTCTTCGTCTCTTCAGTCTTAGATGATTTTGTATGACAGTATGAAGTACAAAAACATTGTCAGTGCACCCTCGATTCTTTCTAAAGCCACTTTGACTTTCAGGGATTACATTATAGGTATCTAGCCAGGTCAGAAGCATATTCAACAAGACTTGAGTAAAAACTTTCAAACAGCAGCTAACCAAAGCGATGGACCTGTAATTATTTGGGTATTGTTGCTCGCCCTTTTTGTAAAGCATTGAAAAAATTAGTTTTGTCCAGGAGTCCGGAACAGTGTGACATTTAATTACATTTGAGAACAAAGTACACAAATACAATAACCAGTTCTGTGGCAGGTTCTTTAAAAACTCGTAGGGGATTTGATCATTGCCAGGAGCTTTATTATTTTTACACGACTGCAAGACAATTTGAAGCTCTTTTAGTTCGACTATTTTATCCAATAGCGGGTCAAAGGTTCCGAAAAAGTTCAGTTCGAGTTTAGCACTGTGATGATAAACACCGGTAAAAAAACCTTCCCACGTTTCAATGCTCAAGTCAGACCTAACCGATAAACCCTTTAATTTTTTTATATTTTCCCAAAAAGACCTTGAGTCGCGCGTATTCCTAAAAGTTTCGGACAATAACTTGTTGTAGTTGCGCTTCTTACATGATAAGAGCCGTTTGTACTCCGCCTTGTGCTCGAAATAAATTGCCCTAAACAGCTGGCTAAAGTTGTTTAGTTTTGCTTCTTTCAAACTTTGACGTACTAGTTTTTTCCTATCTAAACATTGATAGTCGTACCATGGTTTATGGCGAGCTTTTCGCATAGGCATACCAGAGTTGGACCTCGCCACAATCAAATTCGCTGCCGCTGCCGCATTATTCAAGGCTGCGCAGAAATTTGAAAAACAGCCATTAATATCATTATTAGGAATAACTAGTGGTGAGAACTGCAAATGCTGCTGATATGTATTTCGAGCCAAGCGATCGTCCTTCCACTGAAGGGAGCGTGTCGACTGCACGATTGGAGGCGAAATTTGAACATTTCTAATATTGCTTCTAAAAATATTTAACTCGACACAAACCGGGAAATGCGTTGAAGAAAAAATTTCTGAGTTAACCTGCAGGTTCTCAACACAATTTAAACCCTCAGCATTTGATAAAAATAAATCGATTGTATTGTTTCCCCGTGCATTACTGAAAGTGAATTGTGCAGGAGAATCATTTACTGTTCTTCCATTTAATACCGCTAGGCTGTTGATGGTAACGAAGTCCAACAGTAAACGCCCTCTGGTATTAGTTAAGGGATCTAAAGATGTACGGGGGATGCAAGAGACGCGAGCCCATCAAAGCTTCCTCATCCAGCGTATTACTACTGCCAATTCGGCTATTAAAATCGCCACAGATGTAAAAAGCCACGTCCGGGCTAGCATCCCTCGCATCGTCAAAAACCAACTGCAATAATTCTAACAAAGTATTAAGATCTAAACTAGGTCTTAAGTAAACAAATGCCAGTAAAAAACATCTATTTTCAAACGAAATTTTAAGAATAAGCCACCAGGTTGAAGTTTGTAAGATTTCGTAAGACATACATTTTTTAAGCAAGATCAAAAGGCCACCGCTTGCTCGCCCTCGTGATGCCTCTTTTACAGCATTAGAATAAACAAGATTATAAACATTTGCCAAGTAAAGTAGGTAAATCAGGTTTTGAAGTTAACCATGTTTCGGATAGACACACTATGTCGGTTAAACAAGTTAAGCTAGTTCCTTCCAGTATAGACAGTCAATATTCGCGTATCCGTCCATGTTCCAAAATAAAATTGTTGGCTGCTACTGCACCTTCGGCAGCTTATTGGAAGAGGCTGAGCTGGACTCTGGAGAAAACGCAATATTTCTATCCCTTTTCGATGATGGAGCCACAGGCACTAGTTGCGGCACATTCTTTATATATTTTATTGTTATATTGTTCTCGCCATTGAACTTACGATCTTGAAGTTCCTGTCTCAGAGACGAGAGCCTATCTGCTTGCGTTTTTGTAAGATCAGACCTTATTCTAACTTGCTTATAGCAAGCTATTTCAGCTAAATTACCTTTATTTTTAGGAACCAACAAGGCCTGATCAAAAGTGTTAAATGAAACTTTTAGTAATTTGGGTCTATTTGCACCAAGCTTTCCAAGTCTCGTAGCAAGACGAAAGATTACAGAATGCGAAGGGAGCATTTTCGTTAGTAATTCTTGGAGCATTGCAGGATCGTTGTCGGATTCAGGGACATTGACAAAAATAAGGTTTAATTTGCGCCTTTCACGATCAGCAGCTTCAGCGAGATACTCCTCCACATTGTTTACAGACGAATTTTTCTCAAGATCCTGAATTCTGCTTTTGAGTAGTTCATTTTCAGATTGAAGGTTTTGGATCTTCTGTTCACAATTAGAAATTAGGACCCCTTGAGAGGAGACCATGGTGGTTAGATTTTCGATTTTTGTGTTACAAGTGGTGACAGAGCTTGAGACACCAGCTAACTGTTGAGACATGGACTGATAATAGACAGAGGTTTGTCTCATCATTGCCTGGAAGTGGTTATTAGGTAACATATAAGTTAACAGTAAGTATAAGTGATCCATTATCTACCTAGAACTGGAAAGATTTTTTCGTATGGCGTAACTTGTTGCTTCTATTTCTCGCTAGAGGCAGCAGCATGAATGCAGATGCACTTATGTTCTTGTAAAAAAAATACGTTTTTACTCGCTAGATGGCAGCGTCAACGACTAAATTCGGAAATTAGCTCCAAGAGCATAACTTATTCATAATTTGCGCAAATTTGTTAGTTTTATTATTTTTTTTAATCATTGCATAAATGAAGCACGAACATGAATAAATACGAATAATCAGCTTGCTCTGCCTTCTCGTTTACACGAGCGCCCATGTCCCGAGCAGTGAAATGTGTCCCGAGTGACCTTATATTG